GCCAAATGGCCAGAGGTGGTGGGGAGCCCTGACACGACATCCTCAGTGGGGGACAGCGTTTGCAGGGTGCGCTTTCTTCAGCCTGCAGCCTCCAGACTTTGGGATGCAACACGCAAACATGTTCTTCGTTCGAGGATCTCCAACAAAATGAGCTGGACAGGGGGCTGTCTCTGGAATGTGGGTGCCTGGTTACTGGGTTGCCAAATTCTGTTGGGCTCTGTTGTCAGGGAAGTGAGGTCACCACTGCCTGGGGTCCCCTTACCCAACTTCCTCCTCACACAAGAGCCCCCCGAGGGCCCTCCTTGAGTGGGGTCTGGTTTACTCCAGCCTCCAGGCCCCCACCTGGAGGACCCTCCTGCACGACCCTGACAGCCCATCACCACCATCCCCAGAGGACACAGGGCACAATGCTGAAGTTGAGGGATGGCTCTGGGGCTTGTTACCACCACACCTCTGCCTGGGGAAACAGGGGACTCCCTGCTGAACTCGGGGCGCTGCTCAAGGTCCATTGCCTGCACTGTGTGTGCCAGGGGGCAGGGGGCACCCCACTGAAGTTGGGGACCGTGTGCGGTCATTACATGCACTCTTCCTGGGGAACACGGGAAACCCGGAAATGTCTGCAACCCATCCCAAAAAACCTGGGGTGAGCAGGCGCCCTGGAGTTCACCGGTCTGGGGGATACAGCCAGTTGATGGACATCAGGCAGAAGAGACTTTCAAGGGAAAAAGAAAACTCAGTTTGCAAGATTAGCTCGGTCCCCGCAGTCTTGGAGGACTCTAACTCCCACCCAGGGCGCACCTTACCCCCGGAACCTCCACCCCAGTGCACAGAGTGCACTCACCTACCCAGGACCCCCACCCAGGGTCTCTTGGAATTCCCCTTCACCTGCCCCCACCTCTGCATCCCAGGGCAGCTCCCAGTCTGCCCACAGAGAGGTAGCTCTACCCCCCACGCGGTGACTGGTCGGGGAGGGTGGTGCCCCGAGCCCACTGAATGCGGCGCCTCCCTGTACCGGGCAACCCGCCCTCATGCCCACGCCTCCCTGCGACTGCAGGTGATCCTGGAGGCACCTCCTGGCCCCAATACCTGGCTTGGCGGTGCAGGCATGGGTAGGATCATGGGCAGGGCCCCCCCAGACATCTGGCCCCTTCCACGGACCCCTCTGGCTGCAGACCACCCCCAGAGCCCTGCCCCTTCCCTTCCTGCACCAACCCTGCCTGCAGAGCTGTTCCTGGCTCCTGGCAAGGTCACCTGCTCTCAGACCCTCTAAGGCTTGGGCTTTAGGAAATGCAAGGGTTTCCCACATTTCCAAGGCAGTTTTAAAACCCCATAAGTAATGCTCTAAGCAGGAAGAACTTCACCTTCTGGTCTCACCAGGGAGTGGATAGTGCTTCCTGGACCTTCAAAGCATCCTTGTAGGATGAGCCCGTTCATGATGGAATATATATACGTATGCTTGGTTCTGCAGGGAAGCCTCCAGGATGAGGACGAGCCGCCCTTCTGTGCCGTTGGGAGTTGGGAACCAGGAACATTTATTTTTCACTTAAAAAGAAAACATACTGTTATTGTCGACACTGAATGAACAAACCCTTTTAAACAGTTTAGAGAGAAAGGAAGAGAGTTTTATTCAAACCCAAGTCAGGACAGCTGCCTGGGAGACACAATCTTCAGAAAGAAGGGAGTGCTCCGGGGAAGGAACATTTGGGGCAGGTTTATATATTTGTTGTCTTGTTTTACATACAGAGTTACACATCACCATAAGGAAGAACATTCCAGAGAGTTACAGACTTTTTCTTATGTTTTCAGTATGTGCAAATCGGTATGACTTTAATCTTATGGGAGCCAGAGAGGTTGTTTTGTTTTTCTTAACTTTATGTTTGCAATGGCATCGTTGGGTTATCTTTTTCTTCTCAAAGCAGATCTACGATATGTGCTTGGGGCAGAGAGAGGGTCTATGCTCTGAGGTTTTGCCCAGTCATTTTGAGCTTGGTAAAACGTTAAAGGATAGCTTCCCTGGGAGCTCAGGATCCGGGGCCATGGATGGTAAAAGATAAAAATTTCCATTACCATTATAATTATTACTAAAGGGAGGAATTGAGACAAAAGCACCTTTAACAATAGTAACAAGAAATAAAAAATGATGCCTATGGAAGGTTACCTGTTCCATGGTCAACACAGGTAACAGAGGTGGTCACAGATGCTGGGCTGCTCCCCTTCTCCTGCCCAAATCTCTGAAGCACACAGATAATTTAAAGTCAGAATTTTAGAACTGCCAGACATCTTGGAGACATCTTAGAGAGGGCTGCCAGACATCTTAGAGAGGGCTGGCCCTCTCGGTGGGGAGGCCTGTGTGCCTGGTGCACCTGTCCCCCACCTACCCCTGAAAGAGCGGCCACATTCAAGTGTTTCCATGTCCAACCCTCAGGGACAGTTGCGAACCTGGGTCAAGAGAGTCAGGGACTGGCCCAAGACAAATGAGGGGTGCAGAGCCCAAGGAGCAGGGCTGTTCTCCAGTCCTAGGCCAGCCCCAACCCTCCCATGAGGTTCGCTTTGGGGGTGAGAGCCCCTCAGATCCTCGGGGATAGCTACCCACCCACCCCGTCCCATGTGGGGACATGACCTTGGGCATCCCCAGGCGCGTAGAGGCATGCGCACCTGCACACCCACCCACACACACACACCACTCTGCCCCGCTGGGGGTCAGAAGGGGAGGACACCCTGGGAGCGAGGTGGGGGACAAGGGGGAAAGAAGAAAGAGGTTGCAGACAGCTGGGCCATGGGGCAGGGCATCAGGACACAGGCCAGGCTGAAGGTCAGGGGTCCCCAAGGGGCCCACGGAGGCTGCCAGGGCACTGGGAGAGGACAGAGTCTGGGTTCCGGTGTCCATCACCACCCTGGGCACTTGGAAGTAGGAAGAGGTACCCACCCCCAAGTCCAGAAGGGCTACAGCACAAGGCCTCAGCTTACTCTTCTGTCACTTGGGCTGTAGAGATGCGGTGTCCCTAGGGTCCCACAGGCTTGTAGAAGAGCCTGTTGGCCTTGGATCTCCATCCCCGACCCACTGTGCTCCCAGTCCTGGGAACATGCTTTGTACTCCCTCGAGGTCCTTCTGAGCAGAGGACAGCCTGGGGGCTTGGGGGGCTGAGGACCTGGGTACGCAGAACGTGGCAGAGCACTGGGCCACCGGTCTGGGGACCAAGGTCAGGGCCCTCCTTGTTGCAGCCTCAGGGTCCCCGTTTGGAAGAGGTTCTAGAGTCACTGCTCTGGTCAGGGTGAGGAGGCCTTAGGAAGGAACGGAGCACCAGGACCGGAGAGGGAACCAGGGACAAGGGAGGCTTCTGAGGCTTCTCACGTGGCCCCCGGAGCCTGCAGATCCTGCTCCGGTGAGAGACACAGAGAAGGAGACAGAGAATGAACACAGGAGAGAGGGAACCAGGAGAAGTCACAGACTTTCCTCCATCAGCTTGGAAATGACAGCCCAGCATTTTGCCCCATTCTATTCCTGAGAGCGCAGTCAACACAGGCCATCCACCCTGGAGGGGAGGGCACTCCACAGGGACGTGTGACCAGGATTCGGGGGTGCCGGGAGCCACTGTGGGGACTGCCCAGCCCACGGGCACAGACGAGGCCCTGGGACCCGAGCCTAACCCTAATGGGAGCCCCTGGAAGTCTGTGCTGTGCGAGGACAAGGTCAGAATCAGTCCATTACAACCTTCCCATGGGGGCTGGGACACGGGCGAGAGGCGGGTGGCTTTGCCTGGACCCCAGAGCAGACCCAGGCCCCGCTGAGCTGTGTTCCATGCCCCGCCCAGCCCCCGGCTCATCCTTGCATTGCCAAGTGTGCACCAACCTCCTGTGATAGCAGGGATGGAACATGTGTAAAGGTCCTACCCCTGATGGCGTCCCTAGAGTAGAAGCCAGAGTACCCCGATGTGCAGATGGGGAGCCTGGGGAGGCCCTGAGAGGCACAGGGCCTGTCCTAGGTCACAGCCCTGGGCACGCGCAGGAGCCCAGTCTGAACCCAGCTCTGTGTCCTCACAGCGGGGACACCGGCTGCACCCAGGCCTCCCGGGGGCTGTGGGTGGGCTGTGTGGGTGTCACTGTATGGATGGGGCATGGGGAGAGGGTGAGCATTGAGCAGCTGGGGGAGGGGGGCCCTCGGGGGGGCTCTTGTGTGAGGAGGAAGTTGGGTAAGGGGACCCCAGGCAGTGGTGACCTCACTTCCCTGACAACAGAGCCCAATAGAATTTGGAACCCCGGTAACCAGGCACCCACATTCCACAGACAGCCCCCTGCCCAGCTCATTTTGTTGGAGATCCTCAAACCAAGATGTTCACATGCTGCCTGCCGAAGTCCGGAGGTTGCAGGCTGAAGAAAGCGCGCCCTGCAGA